TTTTGTTGACCTTTGTCCATGGAAGGTCCCTGCAAAATTTCATTGAAATTGGTTCAGGGGTTTTGGAGAAGAAGTCGAAAATGTAAATTGTTTACGGACGCACGACGGACGACGACGGACAAAAGGCGATCGCAATAGGTCACTTGAGACTTTGTCTCAGGTGACCTAATATAATCTTGACCTGCGACAGACAGACACTCTGCTTACCTTGATGAGGTAGTCACCTATGTAATCTGGCCGCAGACAAAGCACGCCGTACTCTATGAGGTGAGCTATATGCATGGCACACTTGTCATTGGCAAACACATAGGTCAGTGTGTTGGTCACTTTCTCTGGCTGTGTAATGGGTAGCTTCAGATTGTACACCTCCGCACCACCACTATGCAGTAATCTAAAATTTCAGATGAGTTACACAATTATAGATGAATTACACAATCATATCATGATCAGGCTAACCAGCAAAGAGAAAAAAGCATGGATTTATATATAATGCAATAAAAAACTTTTTTTATATATACTAATTATTATGCTTAATTTTATGATTCACAAATAATTCTCTTACATTTTATAAATTAACATACCACTGTATCTCACTATTTATTCACTATGTTATCTAACATTTCATACATTCACTCATTTCATTTTGTTTAACATTTATAAACTCCCTAACATTTTGTTAACCTTTATACATCTTCAAATATTTTGCCAAACCTTTTATACACAGAGTTCTTTCTTGCACCGCTGACAACAACGGCTGTTTTCCAGCCAGCAAAAGCAGTTGTTCCAAAAACTTCAAAATGGTAGCGCCACCTGCGGGATGCTTCCTTCACATCTGTGGGGATATTGTCTGTATCTGATGTACCTATCTGGCTCCAGTCATAGTACTTCTCATCAAGCCACTGGCCCACCTTTGATGACTCTCGGATGTAATTTGGGTGTAAAATCCATTTTGCAGTAGCACATCCACCAAGAAATTTCTCACTCCTTGTTATTTTCTTACAGACAATATGGGTGCAGTTTGACCTGAAACTCTGTAAAGAAATTGAGAATGAATTGTTTCTTATGTGAAAAGGCTTTCAAGTAAAAGGTTCAAAAACCAAGATATTTCATATCCCTTCAGAATTTCTATGAACAATGTATCACCACAGTCACTTTAGACATGAGTTTAGCAATTAAAAATACTTATAGTAATATCAACTCGTCCTTTGTTTTTAAAAATGTATGCCTTGCTAAACTCAAGTGCCTGTGATATTATATATCCCCTAGGGGACATCCAGGTAAATACGGACACTTTTCAAATGATGACTGCTAATGGTACAGTTTATCAACATGCTATGTGTATGATATGTCTGGAAGTAATAAAAAAAAAAAATAAAAAAAAATAAAAAAACATGCTATGTGCAATCTAGCTAGCATAGATATTCTATGAATATGTTTTGTAAGAATGAAGGTTCCTTTCTTTCGCTTTTTTTTTAGTTATGCTTTTGATAAGTCGGTAAAATAAACACTAAAATATAATCCAAAATACGGAATATATATGAATCGGTTGAGATACGGATACATGTAGGGTAATTATGAACACGCTACTCTATTCATGCATTCACCAAATCAAACCATAGAAACTGTTCACAATGTTTCGCCAGGGATTGCTACATGTTCTGCTCTCAGTTCATGTTCTTATCATGTCATCAGTCAAGTTCAACGTACCGGGCAGTTTGTATACTTATAACTTAACACCCCCCCCCCGTCACAGACTTTTCACAACAACATTCTTTGAGCGCTGGCATGCTGTTATTTTGTTTTTCTTTGAGCGCTGGCATGCTGTTATTTTGTTTTGTGATAACTGATATTGGCCAGTCCAAAATGTAGTTAAGCAATCAATTTAGGTGTATAAGAGTGTTAATTCTGATATTAGATGTTTGCTTGTAAACAGAAATCAACGTAAAAGCATTATTTTTGATAACCCGAGTCAAAAAATATTTCTGTAAGAACCATCTAAATAATAATTAATCAATTAAGAACTGTCCGTATTTACGCGCCTAATAAAAATCTGCGAGAAATTACGGACAAAACAGTTCTTCTTCAATTTTTTATTTTGATATACTCCTGCAATCTTAAAATATATAAGTAACAACAGTAAAAGTACAATATTAAATATACTGAGTATGTATTTGGTTTATGTGGAGATAATTGTTACATAACTGTTGTCTAGAATCGTAGCTTATTTTTCGGACATCGTTTCCGGACGTGTCGCAAATCATGCATGACGTCGAATACTGTTAGACACACCATTGCTATTTTTAGACTTTGGGATATAATATTCCAGGTATTGTCCGTCAACAGCCAAACTTCCATACTAGTAGATCGACCTAAGCCTAGCATGAACGGTCCAGTTTGATTTAATCATATCATATGTAATCGATTATGTATGATCCATATAAGTACTGTCCGTATTTTCCAACCTGTACGTATTTACCCGGATGTCCCTACATACTGCAACATATTGTCAGTGTCTTCTCATCAGCTGCTCAGAAGCTAGGATCACATAGGGTTTCATACACTAAAATGCCTGGAGATTTAGGTCTTGCCCATCATGATCTGCCCCCATCATGATCTGCCCCCATGGATATTTGATTCCAAGGTCCCTAGGACCAATGATGCTTTGCAGTAAACAAGAAAACTGGAAGGATAATCCTGCTATGACAAGTTGAGGAGTGATGATTCCCAATCTGCTGAACAGGATCCTGTCAACTACTGAATTTTTTACTTTGTACTGTAAGCACATAATACTCGAAAGAAGGTTTTGCAGAATAGATAGATAAAAACTCATATTTATAGTTAATTAAAATATTATGGTTCTTCAGAGAGATCGTTTAATTAACCTTATTTCAAAAAAAATAACTATGCTTATTGAAAAAAAAAGTAAACATATTGCCCGATTATTGGAGTGGACAGAATGGTATTAAGAAGCACCTTAAGAAGCGACTGACGCTTACAACGGTGTCACAATCAATGAACAAATGAACCAATGAACCAATGGCTGAAGTGCAATTGAAAATAGGAACTGAAGAGTAATTTAAACCTCAGAATCGAAGTCGATTCCACCCAATGCCGTAATCAACTTCCCTATCTCCTTCCGCTCCGCATCTGCAAAACCAGACAGCTGAAACACACGTTTGCCCTTTTGTCTCGTTCTTAGACTTGTCGACATTTTTGTTAAGTAACATAAAAAGTTTCAGTCAGGTATTGTGGTCATGCTTCGGTTTATCGTTGTGATTTTCCCAATGTTTACAACACTTTCACTTTGAACCTGTCAGCTTCGCGCTCTCCATCATCTGTACCGGAAGTGAATGAGGTATTCTACTAAAGTACTCGTGCCTATTGATTCCGGAATTTCAACTTACAAGATAAATCACGTTTCTGTCTTTTTATTATCTTATTCTATATATCAAACGCAAGAATGTAAACCTTTTTATTATTTATAACAGCAAACTTTGATAGTTATATACACCCAAGGATTTTACAGGACAAATATCATAGTGCAAATAAAACAAGAGGCCAGAGGTCCTGTATCGCTCACCTGGATATTTGAGCAATCATAGGAAAATATTCTCAATAAAAGTACTTTATAAAAGGTTTCAATATATTGAGTCTCCTTGGCTTAAGAATGTTCCTGACTAAATGAAACTTTTTACTACTCTATCCCACCATGCTACTGGTCAAGTATCACCACCCAGTGGGTCTCCTCAGAGGTTAATTGCAGAAGAAGTTTTTGAAAGATATTTACATATTTGACCCTTGTGACCGTGGAAGTGGGTCAAGGTAATTTATTTGAGGAAACTTAATAGCAATTCTGTCCCTGGTACATACAGGACAAGTATTATTACTCTGGGCTCCTGGTTATTCAAAGGAAGTTGTTTCAAGGATTTTAAAACACATTTGACCTTTGTGATCTTAAAAGTAGGTCAAGGTCAATTATTCAAGGAAAGTTTATAGCATTATGTCCCAAATACCTACTGGCCAAATATTATTGCTCTAGGCCTCTTGGTTATTCAGAAGAACTTGTTTTAAGTTTTTTATCAATTTTACCTTTGTGATAGTGAAAGTCGGTCAAGGTAATTTATTTGAGGAAACCTTAAAGTGCTCTTCCCAAGATACTTACTGCAGGGCCAAGTATTATTACTCTGGGCCTCCTGGTTATTCAGAAGAAGTTGTTTAAAGGATTTTAACGCATTTGACCTTTGTGATCTTGAAAGTAGGTCGAGGTCATTTATTTAAAAAGGAAGTTTATAGCATTCTGTCCCAAATACCTACTAGCCAAATATCATGGCCCTAGGTCCTCCAGTTCTTAAGAAGAAATTGTACAAAGAAAAAGTTGATGGATGAAGGACATAAGCTCATAAGCCATAAGCTCAACTGGCACTTCGTGACAGGTCATCTACAAATTTACTTGTCCCTGGAGTTACTTCAGGTCGCTAATTCTATAATATGTAACACATACAAGAACACAAGAATTGGGTGTATTTCTTATTTTATTTGATAGAAAACATCATTTCAACATATATCACAAATAATGAAAAATATAGAGATGCTAGCACTGTGAGTATATATACAGTAATTAATTACGATACTATGTAGCACTCATGTGAGTGCTTATATATACAGTATTATGATAGCACTTTTTAGTGTACATATACAGAAGTTATTTATGATAGCATTGAAAGAGTATGTATATATACAGCAGTTTCGGAAAGAACCCTTGAAGTGCTGCCTTGGGTGTACGCACTTGTAGTTGTGTTCAACAATTGGTCAGGGATCAAAACTTAACTAAAATGTCAATTAAATAATAAATCTGAATTTAGTACCAAACTGTTACACAACATGATCGCCTGGAGACAAATAACACAAAACAAAAACATTTCTAATGAAACAAAAACTACATGTACCACTCATGATAAGAAAGAGACCTCTAACATATAACTTGCTATCCGTAGCTTGGCGTATCAAGGCATTTTTATGACTGAATATTTGTTAATGGCACACTATAAACGGTACAAAGTATCTTTTCTTCGACATGATACATTATAAATATATCCCTAAAATAGAGGATTAGGTGGTCGTGAGGTTTTTTAATTATATAATTATCAATTTCACAAATTGTAAATACATACCAGTACATGCCATATCTAACAATTTGAGCGCAAGTCTCACAAAACCTATTTCAGAAAAAAATCCTCAGGATGTTGGACACATTACTCACGAATTTCAATCCGTCACAAATATTTGGTAGAAAACTTTATTGCAATAATGTTAATGAAGATAACTGTATCCTCAACAATCGCCAATATCAATCGCCAATATCAATAATCGCCAATATCAATCGCCGTGGTGAGACTTTAATTGATAAAACAAACATTAAACTGACCTTAGTTTCTGTGAACTGTCGCAAATGACAACAATATTGCCAACTCTATCCATGTTTATAACATGTTTACTAAATATTTAAACAGATTGGCGAAATGTAAACAATTACATGTACCTGGTTGAGTTCAGTGTCATTTATAATATTAGGTAACATATAGCTACACATACAGACCATATATTATATATAATATATATATATTCAGGGGAAAGCTTAGTTAGAGGGGTAAGGTATACCCAGGTAAACTGGATATGTGTTCCACTGACAGCAATAAAAGAATGAAAAATAAACAACAACAAAAATTAAGTAGGTTGCACCAAAACATGTCTTTCTTAATACTGAAGGATTATAACTAAACATTTCTATATGGCACTCAGGACTTGAATTTTAATCATTTAAACTAAAGTGAAACCGTGTTATTCCAGAAATATTTTGTTCTAGATGGTAATACAAAACCTTATTACATCATTGCTAAAAAAGTTTCCTATTGATGATACACGATCTTGTAACATCGATGTGGAAAACTTGTTATGCTGAGAATTATTTTTATAAAACAAGACCAGTAAGGTTTTACCCCATATAAATCTACTCGAGATGAGTTAATACCTAATCAGTTCACTTGTGGTTTAGTAGATACCTATTGGTTAAATAGTCTACTCTTTATAATGTAACAGTTTTCAGAATTGTAGACCTTGAAATCTTTGCCAGTGCTTGCCAGAGGACAACATCAGACAACTAGGTACGATATTTCATAAACAAATCTGGTCCAACTGGTTCAGCCGTTTGGAATATGAAACACAAAGTGGACCAATAGTGTACAGAAAGTACACCAGCAACACAAATCACTCAACTCCAGCTACGTGGTGAGACTTTACTGTGACTCAACTCTAGCTACGTGGTTAGACTTTACTGTAGCTACATAGAGTGATTCAACTCTAGCTACGTGGTGAGACTTTACTGTAGCTACACGGTGCGACTCAACTCAAGCTACGTGGTGAGACTTTACTGTAGCTACACAAAGGGATTCAACTCTAGCTACGTGGTGAGACTTTACTGTAGCTACATAGAGTGATTCAACTCTAGCCATGTGGTGAGACTTTACTGTAGCTACAT